GAGGTTATGAAATATGTGTTGAGACTGAGAGTCAGAGGAGTTCTGTAAGGAGGCACAGGAACACACAGAAGGTGGATTCAGCGTCCCAGGCTTCATCCTGAATTCTCAGCAATGTTCTTGGGAACACTGGGCTGCACCAGGGCTCACATGCCTCTGAGAAAATTAACATCAGAGTCCTGAATAGAGAATCAATGGATCGAGTTTCCACTGATGACTGGGAAGACAGTGATTTGAATGAATATTCCTATTACAAATTTCTGTAAAGAATACTGTCATTTTTATAATGAAAATTAGCTGGTCTTATACAAATTCAGAAGGATGGTGGAAGTCCTGGAAGCCATCATGAGACATATGACCTGAGCTCCCCTCAGTGTGTGAAGGAATACGCACATGCACATACATGTAGAGACTCACACTCTTGTATCATATCTGCATCCAAACCTCCTCTGTCCAAGGTATTGTCTCTGACACACACAAGACATAATCCTGTGACAGGAAACTGCTGGCATATGAAGGAAAATAGAGGACTAGGATTTTCCAGTAATGACTGGGTGACTGTTTCCTTAGATCCCATGATAAGGGATGTGATGCTGGACTTAATAGTACCTCAGGCACCAAGAGCACATGGCCCTGCACTGAGCTCTGTGTTTAGCCCTTGTTTCCACTTTACAGCATGTGTGAAGGCCCCACGAGCACCTGCATAAAAGTGTTTTCAGTGAATGTGAGCTTTAATTTCCCCTAGAGACATATTTACTATTAAATGGCTGGTTTTATGGTGAGTGCTTCCTAAACCTCGTAAGAAAGTGGCAATTTTCCACGGTGGGGGCTTCAAAATTTTAGTTCCATCAGCAGAATGTTGCTTTATTCCTGTATCCTCTTTATATTACAAAAGTATCACATTCTTTATCCGTTTTTCTTCAGTCATGGGGAGGGGTGTGGATAACACAGTCTCACCTGCATGTAGCTCCTTGTTCAGAACATTTGAACATGCTAGGAACAACATAATTGCTCTCTGGGTTCTGGGTTTAGCCACTATCTGACCTCTGCTCCATCTCCAGGCTTAAATATAAAAACCTGCATAATTCAGATCTGGTGTAGAGTTTCCTTCCAATGAGTGTCTCTATATGTGAATTTGCTTTTTGCCATCCACATGATTCACTTTTATTTCACCATGAAGATTAACCCATTAATTCAGCATTGCCTGACTGGGGCAGCCTGGCTTCTGAAACAAAACTGAATCAATCTCACAAACTGGGAAAAATAACAATAATACTGAATACACAGAAACCTCAGTTAAATAGCATTTGGTGACAGCACAGTGGGCTCTCATGTTCTACCAGGAGAGCAGAGTCCAGCTGTGTGAAGAAGAAAGATGCCCTGTTCCCTCTTGGCAAGGACTCAGGCAGTGAGGGGTGGTCACAGCTCAGCCAGTGAGAAGCCCTGGGTGCCTTGTTCACTACAGCCCCTCCTCCAACATGCATTCCCATCTGCAAAATAGTTCTCATCCCCGTGTATGCTAGGCCCTGCAGGTGGCTCACTGTGATTCCAGGCACTGAACGCAAATCGTTGTTGATCCCAGATGAAAACTATTCCTTTTTGCTGGAGAAATAACTGGCCATCTCTTTGCTTCAGGTCAACATTTTCACAGCCCTGATGGAATCAGACAAGACCCCGTATTACTGTGGGGTTGCTGAGCAAACAGGTTTGGGACCCACACTGGCCCATGGCTTGCCCTGTGATTCTCCCCGACCCTGGAGTTTGAGGGTAAATCATTCTCCTGGATCCCAGCTTCCACATCTGTGCAGCAGGAAGCTCTGCAGGCTTTGTCTGAGACCTGCTTAAGGTTTATCCTTCCGACATAAGGCCTTGTACTCTATGCAAGTTCTTATTTGGCATTCAATCTGAGTTTGATGTCAGGTTGTTCCAGAGGCATTGGCTGGTCTTCTTCACAGCCCGTGGGAATAGGGGCTGTTCTGCTGGGCCTGTGCTGAGCAGCCTTCAGCCTGGCTCCTTCAGGACCTTGCCATTCTATTCACAGAGGAACAGGGTGGAAACCGTGTCCTCTCCAGGTTTTCTTAAGCTGACAAACCATGTCTCTCACACTACAGGAGAGTCACCTGAAGGAAGAATCTTTAAATTCTTAAACTTGAATTCCAGCAAATAAAACCCCAGAATACAACCCAAACCCCCTTAGTTTCTTCTATTGTTTCCCAACAGCCAGGACACTGGGACAGAGATTGTTACAACTGTGTGCACTTCGGGCACCATCAGCCCTCAGACCAGCCTTCTAACATCCTTCTGATCCCAGTGACAGGCTCTGAGGGAACAGCTGGGCTCTTCTCTGTCCTTTCTCTCAGTAGGCTTGGACAAGCATTTCTCCAGATTGGAAGTGTGTCTTCCCCAGTCATATTGGGCACTGGAGCCGGAATCTCCCTGCTCACCCGAGCTACTGAAGGCAGCCCAGGCTCAGGGAACTAAAGCAGCTCACCCAGTGGGGACCTGTGATGAGCCTCCAGGGGTCTGTGCCTCTGGACCTCCCCCTTATATTTAGGCCCTTTGAGAGATGCACACCTTTTACTCCTTACTAACTCCACCCCGTTCCATTTACTGAATGAGACTTCACAGTGAAGCATCCTGCTACAGTTTCTGTCTCCCCCAAAGGGGGAAATGATTCCGGCATGTGAGAGCAGCCATCAAAATATGTGTGAAATTAATTAAGTGGCCCTGAGACATCTTTTACTCATTTTGTCTCTGATGATACTACAGCTAATTGTAGAAGCAGCGACCATTTTTCCTCTTGAGTTAGTTACCACCCCTTTTTGGGCAAAATCCCCAAAACATTTTGGCAAACTTCACAGTGCAGCCTCCTTCAAGATTCAAACAGAATTTAACACCATCCCAGGATTCATCAGTGGTCTATAAGGAAGGAAGCCCTTAGGGCCTTGAAGCCCAGAAGAGCAGATTCCAAGGCCGAAGCCTTCACTGGCCCTTGTAGGTGTTTCGGAGATACTCTTGTTTTCCTGGAGAGAAAACCCCAATGCCAAGGGGGGAGTGGTGTCCAGGACCTTGGATCAGCAAACTGCATTGAAATATGGTTGAGCAATACTTCATCACATATGTCTTCCACACATACTTTAAAAAGGGTTGAATCATGCCAACGGCAGCAACACAGATGGATATAAACACAATCATATTAAGTGAGTTAAGTCAGATAGTAGAACACTTATCCCATGATCTCACTGATATGTGCAATTAAAAAATGAAAAAAGATTTTACTTACAAGACAAAAGTAGACTCATGGACACTGAAAACTATGTTCACCAAAGTGCATAGGGCAAGGGAGGGATTCACAGATACACATTACCTTATGTAACACAGATATAAAACAAAGAGCTACTGTACAGTATAGGGGACTGTCTTCCATGTTATAATAACATATCGTGGGAAAAAGTCTGAAATATATATATATATATATATGCATAACTGAATCCATTTGCTATGTACCAAAAACTAACATTGTAAATCAAACACACTTCAATGACAAGCAAAATGAGACTTGTATTCCTTTATTTAAATAAAATTTATATTGAAGCTTTATTATCAAGCTCACCGCCCCCATCAGTATAACTCATGCCTGGATGGAGCTTGTCTGTTATACATAATTTCTGCTAAGTCACTCACAGCACTGTGTGGTCACGGACGCTGGACTGTGCTTCAGAACTACAGATGGACCAGCTCAAACAGGCAAACTGTCTCCTTCTACCACAAAGAGGGAAAAACATGGCACTAACTGGACCTTAAAGGGGACTCAATTACGTGATAGAAGTTGAAACAAGAAGGCAGAGAATCACCCTGACCGACCTCAGGGGGAATGTTAGTGTGTTGGGCGATTCAAAGTGCTGCCCACATTACAAATGTCCATCAGTTTTGCAAATACAACAGCCATTTTCATTTTGGGCTGAAAATAAATTTCAGCGCATAAGGGATCTTTAGACCACGGACCCCGTGAGTAATGAGGATCCCTGCACACGCAGTCCTGGGCACCCTGGCATTAGTGTCTTTCACATGCATCCTGCACAATGCAAACCCTTGTGCTCTTTGACAGGAAGATGGAGGGTATGCAGCCTCCTGCCCCGGGAGCAAAGACAAAGATTTATCACAGTTTACACGTGTAGTTCAAGTGCCTGGGCCTTCTCAGAACATTCAACAGTTTTGAAACATCCAGACTCACCTGGAAAATTATGTTAAAACCTAGCATCCTTAGGACCTTTTTGAGAAGAAAATAAAATATATCCTGAGTACAAATATTATTGTTGGAAAGAGAGAAGAGCTACAACAATTAAAAATTAGTGTCCAGCATGGGGGTCTCTGGTAGAGCTGAAGAGTAGGAAGAGGAAACCAGGGATTCTAACCGCTAACCCCTCCTGGCCCC